CCAACACACTCCCCCTGGCGTCCCAGTTCTCTTCACAATATACTGCCACAAATGGCGTGCCCCACCCCGCGAGATATGTGAGAGATATACCGGCGTAAGTCCGCAAGTGCAACAGTTCATACTGGGCAGTCGGACGGCGATGGGGGAGATGTGAGTTATCCACTCTTCACTCTTTCATACTCTCCATTACTGCATTGCTTGGAACAACGCAGGTTCCTAGGTAGCAGACGCTTGGCTGATCTAAGACGTTATAGTAACAAAGCCATCACCGCCATAGCCAACCACTTCAACGCTGGAAACCAAGTCGTGTCGATACAAACTACATGCCATGCGGGTACACATCGAAGCGTTGCGGCAGCGGAGATTGTAGCGAACGAGATGAGGAGGAGGGGTGTGAGTGTTGTGGTCAGGCATGCGCATCGGAGGAGGGGAGTTGGTGATGCGCGATAGGGCTAGATGGATGAGGATACAATGGGTAGGCTTTTGGGATGAGTGGTAGGGCTTCTGGAGGGCGGAGTTACCGGGATTCAGTCTGTCCCTAGAGGATTTGGATTGTTTCTCGGTATGCAATCGGTCGTTATGGACGAGACACTTGTCTGATTCAATGATGTATGTACGAATTGTCTTGGTGAGATTCGTGTCTAAGACACATTTTGGGTTGCCGTATAATAACCGACACGATGCGCACTCGTAACCATCATGCCAATCTTTAGGGAAGCTGCAACTGTTTCTTCACGCCAACAAACTATCAACCAAGATAACACGACTCCAAAATGCCCAGACGAAGGAGGCGCCGAGGAAGAAGAGCATACAATCGCCAACCAAATAGACGCAATGACCGTAACCCAAGCCCCGACTCACCATCGAGTGGTAGCCAAACGTCCGGTACCAACACCGAAACGACACCCGACAATGCGTCTTCATCGGCCTCCGCGACATCACATACCAACATCGAAACAACACCCGACAATGCGTCTCCGTTGGCCTCTACGACCTCGACTACCCCCGATTCTAGACCTAGACACGCGACAATCCCGAGCCCATATCACGGCAACGCTAGCCAAGCTACAGACGCACGTGGCGAACCAGTTGCCGAATTGAACAACGATGTCTTTGAGGATGGGCCTCGTGCGCCAAGGGATGCTGAGGAGATGAAATGGTACTCACCGCTTTTCACGTCGGGCCTTTCTGGGGTTGCTGATACGCAGGCTGCATGTGAAGCTTTTATGTGGAGAGCCATGCGTTCGTCGGAGCAGGCGTCAAGGGAAGAGGAGGAGGACTGTAACTTTTGGGAATAAGTTTCTGTGTTATATCTTACCTAAGTACACATGTATGTGCTAGACTTTGGGACTAGAATGCAAATCTTACGATACGAATACTACTCAAAGTGAGACTATGAAATGTACAGCTCTGGATGCCGACGTACGTCATATAACAGGACATGTGTGGGGCTTAGAGATTGCTTGATGATAGTAAAGATAATCTAAGAACTCTTTGAGCTACGTGATTGTCATCTGTAACACGACAGAATGGAGCATACATGTCTTACTTCGTAACTACTTCCTTGTCCTCATCAGCATTTGGTGGCCAACACTTCCATGGGTTTTCCCCCTTGTTAACTTTCATTTGCTGTTCAAAGCCACCTTTGGTCGCATGTAAACAGCACAGCCTCCTCTTAAGATCGTCAGTTTGTTCCTTCTTCAGAATCTTACCGATGGGCTTACCGACTCTGCAGCGCTTATTTTTGGGGTCCTCGGTGGCTACGACTGCATAGTCATCCAAAACGGGTAGTGTGTCTAAGTGCTCGAGAAGCCAGGTTAGGCCTTCATCCTCCAGCAGTGTGATGAAGTCATCGCGAGAGAGAGGCTCTGGTTTCGGAGGAGGGGGACGTGGCGCTTTCGCTAGAGTCTCTTGTGATGGGTGATCTGATTCCTCGACTGGTGTTTCCGAGACGGCATAGACCTGAGGTGAACTTGGGAGCTCGTAGAGAAGCTCGCCGATCCAGTGTAGGTCGCTGTACCTCTTCATAGCAGCATACATGGTTTTCCTGGCTTCAGTGAGGGTTGATCTCAGCTCTTCGAGGTCATATTCGGATGGTGCTGCAGTTGAACACTCGTTCACTGGTGTACCGTCAACTTCAAAAGGGTCGAGTGGGTTCAGTGCATGTGCTTGCTGCAGGTCCTTCCTTTCGTGAACGCTCATAAAGCTATCAGATCGAACTTTACCATTCGGCGTAACCGATGTTTTCGTGGGAGAGGTGGCGAGCGCAAGAGCTGGATGTTGGGTTGTGTGAGGCATTGCGGGCGGTCTCTTGGTTTTGCGATGTCGGTGTCTGCCTTTTGGTTCCGGATGTAAGGAATGGAGGAGGGAGTTATATATCTGGATCGCAAAAGTCTGTCACAGTGGCTGACAACAGCAGATCCGTTGGCATCTGAACATATTTTGTCTGCATGGCTGCGCTGCATCATACTGACTCAACTTCCAGCGTGGGAGAAGCTCTGCGTCAGAGATGACTGTTGTCTCCGTAAGACTTCTGGAAAAGTTAAGTAGTGCCATTGCGTAAGTGTTGCGTTGACATCTCTCAACATGCTGGAAGGGTTAGTGTGAGCAACAGGCGCAAGAAAGACTACGCGAGGTATGGGTAGTTCGACACGACGGTGACTTTACGGCCACGTTGTAGACAGTTGTAAAACAGCCCACAGATCTTTCATGCAACGAAGTTCAAGCTGATGCGAAGAACAATAGGATAAGTGACACAGTTGACGATACTTGAAGTGCTCATAGACTGATGACCAATGTGACCACGATGCCGTTGACACCAGGCTGGCCACTCGCTCCATCATCTAGTACATGCGGACAAACCTGGAATCCCACTTTCTCGTAGAAAGCTCTTGCGCTCGTATTTGACTGCACCATGTCAAGATGGGCCCCCTTCGCACCCAAAGTTTTAACTGCACCCAGAAAATGCTGTATTAGCATAGAACCCCACCCCTTCCGCTGATACTCAGGCAGAATATCGATATGCAGATGTGCCGAATATTGCTCCAACACCTGCGGCCAAGGCAGCAGCATACTACAGTCCGCTTCATACACAGCCTTTCGAAAGTGCCTAGCGTCTTCTCTTTCCATCCGCGAATCACCAGTCTGAACATCCGGATGTGGCACAAGTTTCGGATCGATAGTCGGAGTGAACACGTCGCGCCAGCGCTGCGCGAAAGACGCTGTATCAGCGGCGCCGATACAATAACCCACCACACGTCCGTTGCCGTCATCTAGTACGTAGCATGTTTCGGGTGTTAGATCAACGTAGGCTTTGTACCAGAGACGTAAGCCTATGGTGCGCGCTGGCTCCCAGTCAAGACCTGGGTCGATAGTTTCCAGGAACTGTGGCTTTCGTCAGGATGACAGTAACGAATGAATCGATGCTGTGACGCATACCACGTGGAGTCCGTCATTATAATCGGCTGATGTATTATACGTTCGGACAAACGGGGTTTTCGTTGCCATGTTGGAATCGATAGCGCAAGCGATAGGCTAGCTCGTTGGTAGACTGTTCGTATGGGGGGTGATGTTTCTGGCCCGTGAATAGGTGAAGTACCGAGAAGGAGGACGAGATTATGCGATGTTGTTATGTTTCATCCAGGCAGCAGTCTGAGAACAATGGCAACCAGCGGGGAAGAGGGTTCAGCTTGCGCTCGCTCAATGATTGGCCGCGCATTTTCAGATCGTGTAAGCAATATATTCGCCTGGGCATCGATACGGGGCAAGTTTCCAGATGGCGGTCTTCTATATGTGCGAGTCAGGTCCCGCGTTTTGGCAGAGACCTCTCAGGGTTGAGCGCGAAAGACAGAGAGAAAAGACGCGCCCCTGCGAAGGATGGACGAAAGAACGAACCCTGGCACTAAGCCACTTCTAGCCTAACCCGTCGTTGATGATGTCATCCCCAGCCTTCCTACCTGGTACACGCGCATCCTATGAAAGGGCAGCCTACATCCTCATCAGCTATTGGATGCCGGTCCTGAAAATGCGTACTCACCCACAGTCGGATAACCAGCGCATTTGGTGTATGGCGGTACCTGCTTCAAGCAATTGAGTCGCCCTGCGCCGCAGTCTTGCTTGCAGTCAGCGCGTCGCGCACCTTCAACGTTGGAGAGCCGGAGACTCATATATGCGCTTACTCTCGACTTCACATGGCCCGGTGTACGGAGGATAGTTTCCGAGCTCATCGCAGTCGGTCTGCCGGATCTCGTTGCCTATGTGGAGGCCAACGACGCATGCGCCGAACACTACGAGGTTAAAGACTGCACGTAGCAACATCGCTTGCGGAAAGAGAAGGGATGTACTGGGAGAGGCTTCTAATGTGTTGTCTTTTGCATGTCCTGCGAGAGAGAGTCATGCCTTTGACTTATACGGTATCGTCAAATTACCCGGATATGAGTGCTCGCTTGCTCTCTCGCGGATACGAGAACAAAGAAAATCTTGCACAACACGAGGCTAATTGGCAGATAAGATCCTGATTATTTTACTTTAATCTAATGAGTGGAAGTCCGTTTGGTGACGGATATCGAAGGAATGGAGACGTCCCCAATAACAGAGATGCAGCGTTTGGTGGGAGTGGCGACAACGACTTGAGGCCGTCCTCATATGCGGTTTCGACAGCAGTCCTCGTAGACGTCAACATAGCAGTAGCGGTACTGCAAGATGCACTTGTGATGGCGTGCATCACACGTCTCGCGTCTGAAGCCTCCCCTGGGCGCGCCGTGGAAAATGCGCTGGAAGCGTCGCGACTACTCGCATTCATGATTGTCCTGCAACTCGGCGGCGACCCTGTCAACACGTCAACGTCACTCGTTAGGAAGTATGTTCAGTTCAGGACCAAGGTGGAATGACTCTACATCTTCAAAAATCGCATTGCCGTTCTGCACTTCATACCATATGAGGAGCTCTCCAGGGAAGGAAAGGTAGTCTTCGAGAGGGAACACACTCGAACCCGAACAATCTCACTCTCCCTCCCGACCCACACGACTCACAACCCCAAAATCCCCTTCAACAAACGACCCATGCGGCCCCAGCGCATAAACCTGTGGCATATCCGCCCTCGCCACCTCCTCAAAAGTCCTCCCATCCAGCCCCACAAGAATACTATTCGTCCCCTCCTTATTAATCGTAATAGTAATCACAATCCCATCATCCTCCTCTGTCGCACCAGGCCTCTGAATGAAAATCGGCTCCGTAGGACAACTCTCGCCATTCTGCGGTACCCACGCTTTGAACGTCCCAGTCCGCCAATCAGACTTGAAGAGGTGGCCATAGAAAGATGCATGTGGCATATCTACGCCGTTGCCGAGACGTCCGATGGGAACATCTGTGCCTGGAGCGGCGATGCCGTTTCCAGAGACGCCGTAGACGAAGCGGTAGTTTGGATCCATGGATGCGGCTTTGGAGATGCGAGGGAGTTCCGCCATCATGTTTGGAATAGCGGCTTTGACGGTGCCGCGGGCGACGACGGCGGGATCGCGCGTGTTGACGGCGGAGAGTTCGTAGCGGACGAGGCGGCCTGTCTGGTAGGGTTTGAGCGGGTTGATGACGTTCGAGATGGCGTATTCGTGGTACGGGTAGTGTTCGGCCTTGTAGCTCGCGATGTCGACATGGACGTTCGTGTGCCCCGTTTTGGGATCGACGTAGTCGTAGGCGTTGGCTGTGTGGAAGAAGTAGAAGTTTGGGACTTGGTAGGATGCGATGCTAGGGAGTGTTAGTTCAGGAGTGGTTAGAGACGAAGGGAGAGAGAGGACTTACACCTTGCCGTCGGCCTTGTCTAGGACGTAAAAGTACACGGGGGAGTCGTGCTCGCATACCATCGCCTCGACCAGGGTCTTGCTCGGATCGCTGAGATCCAATATAACAGGCTGATGGCATGTTAGTTTCGATTCATATACCGCCACTCCATCCATTCGGAACTACTACTTACGTTTCTGACAAACACAACATACTTATCCGTCATAGCAAGAGCATGCGTGTAACACGGCTTACACGGCAGCGCCGACTTCCACAACAGACGCGCCGGATTAGCAACCACATCCAGCGCAAAAATATACATGATCCCCGCCGCATCGATCAAGTAATTGTACGTCGTTCCTCGCTTGCGATCATGAACAGGATGAGCGCAGCACCCTGTTCCAGCGAGCTCGGGATCGATGACCGCATGAGAGAGTAAGCGCTTCGGCTCGAGCGTCTTCGCATCGCAGATTTGCATGCAGTTCCAGTCCGTATGAACGAGGATCTATGGCTCAGCGTGAGCTTCGCTAGGTCTTTTGGCATGAAATGGTGATGGAGGTTGTCTTACCTCCTGCGTAGCTGGATCTTCCGCCTTCACACCTCTCGAATTAGGATTCTTATCCTCCGGTAGATGCATACCACGTCTCGGCTGAACATGAACATTAAGAGCATCTGGCTCGATGGAATCATGAGGCAGGAAAACGGTTTGCTACATCCATCGAAAATTAGTCAGTCATTCCATCACTTCTCATGACTGGAGGAGAAGATGATCAGACTTACACGCGCTCCAAGTAATTTCGAACACGGATCCTGGGCTTCGAAAAGAGGCGTATTGGGATTCGGTCCCACCCAGGAGTTCTTGACGTAGCCGTCTCGCTGCGCAGCGCGCGTTATTCCGTTGGAAGTGTAGCGACTCATGTAATACACGCGACCGTCGGTCATGCGAAATTTATGGAGGAGGGCCAGGCCGTCGAAGAGGTGCTGGATGATGACTCGGGGTGTGGAGTCGTCTTCGGAGGTGGGGACTGTGAAACGGCCTACGCCAACCCTGTGGTGAAGTTGATGTTAGCTGGGGATTTAGGGCAGATGTGAAGGGTGGAGGGTGACGTACCGAAGGAAAGAGCCATGGAGCCATTTGGGCCAGGTGCCGCTGAGCTTGCACTCCACCTCCGTCGTCGTTTCTGGGACATCTTGAAAGTACGGCGGAGCGTATTTGAGTTCTTCCGCTGTGATGATGTCCCATCGGTAGCCTTTTGGCTCTTGTTCGGGTGCCATTTCAATATTGGGAAGAAAGTGTTTGTCGAGTGTAAGTAAAGATGTATTGTAATTGCAAGACACTGATGAGGATCCGATATTGATGAAGCTTCGAGGTGGTGTACGGTGCTTTATATATGCTCTTCATTCTTCCATCGCGGGATACAATGAAGCCATGATCGTAAGCATTCAATCACTAGAGGGCCGATTCCATCTCACCGACAAGCAAACAAGGCCGTCAAGTTGGAACTTGAAGCATGGTACAGCTCTATACCGCTTCCAATCTTACCTATACAATGTGCCAAACCCAGTTAAGTGTATGACTACATGCAGGGGCACGCAGTAAAATAATCAATGCCCAGACTCCTACCACGGTTTCGGGACAGACTTCCACCTCCACCCCTCCGCCTCCCCTCCGCCTCCCCTCCGCCTCCCCCACCCACCCCTGTCGCTTACCAACGATACTGCATGGCTAGCTGCCACGTACGATCACAAAAGAGATCAAAAGCAGCCTGAGTAGGTACGTAGACTCGGTGCTTTGCAATCCTCGTTTTCCAATTGGGCGGCGCCGGCGGATGTCGGTGTCCAAACTGACATCCGATCCGGATGACAGCATAATCAAGTCCGTTCCGTGTACTGCCAAGTTTATTTAGATTTACGCAGGGACTTTATTGCGGAGGATATGGAACGGCAGCGGTTAGTACCGTCGGAGGCTTTCTGAAGGCTACCCCCTGCATGTATTTAGCGGGTTCAGCTCAGCCACCACGGCCGCTATGCAGGATCAGTAATCTAAAAGGTCGGCCGTCTGCAGGGTATGGAAGTCTTGATACTCCATATGGTCGAAGTAATGATGGTAGGCGATTGAATATTCACTTTTATTAATCAGAGGACTATTCGTGCGATAAACCTAACATGTGATACCACTCTACATCACAATATCCTTTTCCCCCTCCACATCATCTATCCCCATCACCATTCCCATCCCCACCCCCTTACACACTCCTCCTCCTTTCCAGGCCCATCCCCCCCATCATCCCCCGCTCCACCATCCCCCTCGCAACTCCCCCAACCACCCCCTTATACCATTCCCTATACTCTCTATACTCCTCCTCACCCATATCATCGTGCAGACCACCCATCTCCAACCCCCCAGCATCAAGCCAAGCGTCAAGATCAAGGAGGACTTCATCTAGGAAGGCGCATGAGTTGTTGTCATTGTTGTCGTCTATTATACCGCTTTCGCTTTGCGTGTAGAGAGGACTGTGGAGGGAGCTAAGGAAAGGGTGGGGAAGGGGCTTGTCGTTGCTGTAGACTGAACTTGGTGTTGGACTGTGTGGGATGGGGTTGTCGTGTTCGTTGACATCTTTCATCTCGACGTTTTCGGAACCCTTGTCGTTAAGCATCCCATCGTCCGGCGGCTCAGTTTGCGCGGCGTAGTACGCATATGCCTCAGCCATAGTTTCCGATCGAAAAGACGCAACGCTATCCCTCCTGCTCCTCAGTGACGACGCCAGCGCATTCATATCGAAACAAGTATCGTCTGGTAGCGAGTGCAACGACGCAGTACCACCCCCCTCTCGCCCACCCCCGTACGACTCCATCGTCGCTGTATCCACACTCATTCGAGAACGTATCTCGTCATGAACCGATGATGAGGACGAGGCTGGAGGTACTGCCGAGATACCATCACGTTCCCGTTCGTACTTGCAGAACCTGCAATCTATCGCTAAACACGCCATCTTTATTTTCGTGAGAAGACGCTGGGTGTCGTTGTGAATGGTTTAGCTGGATGGATGCGGATAAGTGTGAAGGTTTTGGTTTTTGAGTGTTCGTGTGAAAATTGATGTAGGTGGTTATGCGAGAACAGGGTGGAGACGTTGTAGGAATTTATATGGGCTGGGTGAGTACAATGTCTGTACGACCACTTATGTCTTCAAGGAAAAGGTAGTAAGACAGTCTAGAGTGGCTGTCTCGGTATTTGTTAAGGGTCAGGTGTGAAGTCTTTGGCTCGATATCCACTGGTGCTACCCATTCACATCCATGTGTCTTGAAGCTTGGAGAGACAATAATATTGACGTCCAAGGTTTCTCCTCGACCGGTGAGACATAGCGATGGCAATCAATGTGGGAAGTGAGGTCAGTTTACCATGGTATCATTCTATATCTCGCTCAACTACTATCTAACATACACTCGCTCGTACATAGAATTAGTCTGCTCCCCACCACCCCACCACCCCACCACCCCCATCCCCACCGTCCTATCCACCTATGAATACCAATCTAGCTCCTATCTACAAAAGCATACTTCCGCGCACGCTCTCAAGATCCCTCCCCCCCTAATGCTGCAAGCGCCCAGCATGCACAAAAACATGCCAACGCTCACACGCACTCCATTCGCCAAATACGCTCGCTCGCTCAGCCATGTGTGAGACAGAAAAATGCTTCTTCAAAGAAAGGCCAAAAAACATGTGTGAAACTCCGGGGTATAGGATACTTTCTCCCAACCGCTAAAACGCCAGATGGAAAAAAGCAACAAATCAAAAGTGTGGATATAATGGTCCAGAGGTGAGATGGATATTTCGATGATACATCGCGGGGAAAGAGAGAGATTCTTCTTCGAAAGAATGCAGATGCTTAGTACTAGAAGTCGATATTAGGGAACGGGGGTTAGGACCAAGCCAGGATCCAGACGCGAAGTGAAAGTTGGGGTTTAATAAGTAGGTTTCGCTAACGTTGATTGCGTGATGTTGCTGTCGTTCGTTTGGAAACAAGAGGTATCGATCAGGTCTGCGCCGGTCCGTCGAGGTGAGTTGTCCGATTTGCAAGTGCCTATCTCCAGACCGGTCTGTCTCCTACGCTTGACTGGCGACCACTAATACGGCTTGAAGTACGGCTTTCGGCCAGGCTGTCGAGCCTACTGCTGGAGCGTCCAGGAGGGGTCGACTTAGCAGGTGGGGTTGACTTGGTGGCCTCGGAAGTGGATGAGGTGCGCTGTCTAGGTGTAGGTAACAGACTGCTGCGACGACTGGCTGCGGCACTCGGAGGGCGCGATGCGCGACGGGCCGCCGGACTTTCTTCTTTGGCAGGGCTCTTGCCGCTTTCTACTACTGTTGAGACACGACGGCTAGACGCTGGCGTACTTGTACTTGAGGAAGACAGGGGCGTTGATCGTATCGGCAGCTTGCCCTTGGCAGGAGTAACGGGAGAGGAGTTCATTGGGCTTGGCATCAATCGAGCAGAGCGCTGCTGCCCTGGAGTAGTTGATGGAGAACGGCTGGATGCAGTCGGCGAAAGAGCTGAGGAGCGACTCAATGGGCTTCTGAGGGGTATCGATGAACGGCTTGCTGAGCCCAGTCGCGATCCGTCGGGTGATTCGTCTTTTCGGAACGGCGAAGGTGTGGTCAGAGTCAACGGCTTAAAGTTGTGCCCGACGACAGTATCGCGCATGTGCGTGTCCGAGTTCCAACGAGGCTTGGGCCCAGGCCTATCGGTCGGCGTCTTTGCGCGTGCTTGACTAGCTGCAGTGCCAGCCATGGCGCGGGAAGGTGTAAAGTCCAAACGTGCGGAACGCTCAAGTGTAGATTTGCGAGAAGCGACACTCTCAGCACCCAGTGGTATGCTGGAGTATCGGCGGTTGGGAGGGGCTGACGATTTCAAACTCGCAACACTGGACTGACGAGGCTTCTTGCTTACCGGAGTAATGGAAGGCCGCTGTCCACTACTCTTACGGCTCATGACGACACTCGAAGCGGGGGATGTGCCTGGTGTGTCAAGGCTTGACTGTGGTAAGGAGCCCTCTGTCAGTACGGTGGAGACTGAGTCGCGAAGCTTTCGCGATGTAGTGAAGTCGTTCAAGATGATGTCCGTGTTTCCAGTCACGTCTTCCAAGTCCTCCACCTTTGCGCGGACGTCTTTTTGGATACGCAGGATCTCACCGTTGACTGTGGACCTGTGCTTCAT